TAATTTACTAGCGGTTGTTCGTTGAGCAACGGACTGAAGGTAGATTGTACATTTAAATGAAATGTTTTTACACTCAGATGCAAAAAAACGCAACAGAAGGTTTTCTCGCCAAATTTAGAGAATTATATATGTATTTTTATTTTTAGCCCAATTTTCCTGTTTTTTAGTGAAATCACACATGGTTAATAAAACTCATTCGCAATAACTAAACTTTTGACTTTTTTGTACTTTTGTCATTGCGGTGTAGACAATTTGTCTCAAGTTTGTCTTATCAGAAGCCTCCATTTTTTGTGACAAGTTTGTCTTGTTTTTGTCTCAAAATCGTGTTTATTTTTTGTCACCTTGGTCTGGATCCGGCATCGGCATTAGGTATACAAAATGTAGCTTTCAATATGATATTATGATAATACTCACCAAAGCCACATTGCCTTATTAAAAAATAACATCAAAAAGTAATGATAATTGAAAAAATTGCAAATTGTTGGTGGCAAGTTTATTTCGCTCTTAAAAATTAACCAAAGCATATGTCGTATGTTGATATGAGTCAAAAAACAAAATGCTCAGGAGGCAAGGTTCTGACAGTAAAATAATGTTATAGGCAAATTTCCTCACTAATTTATTGCACAGGGTGTTTTAAAGTTAGGTTTAAAAATAACACTTTACAACCAATATTTTAAACCAACACTTTAAATACGAAACACTAACAAATTAAACAACCAACACTTTAAAATGTTGTATCCTATGTTATAGGGCTTGTTTCTCTCTACAATTTCCTGTCTCACAATGTACGTCACACGTTTGTGTCCAGGAAGAGTTCATAGTTTCATAGTTGTCGATTTTCGAAAGAAATCAGTACATGTATATTATTTCGTATATTTTTCATTTTATTCATTTTATGGAAAGCTCTGTTCATTAAAATATTGTATCCTATGTTATAAGGCTTGTTTCTCTCCACAATTTCCTGTTTCACAATGTACCGTTTCTGTCGGGGAAGGGTTCATAGTTTCATAGTTGTCGATTTTCGAAAGAAATCAGTACATGTATATTATTTCGTATATTTTTCATTTTATTGATTTTATGGAAAGCACTGTTCATTAAAATGTTGTATCCTATGTTATAGGGCTTGTTTCTCTCTACAATTTCCTGTCTCACAATGTACCGTTTGTGTCCGGGAAGAGTTCATAGTTTCATAGTTGTCGATTTTCGAAAGAAATCAGTACATGTATATTATTCTTACTTTTTGTTTGTCCGTGTCGTATTGCCAAAAAACGGAACGTGTTTTGTAAAAAAAATAACTAAATATTTTAATTTACGCTGTTATTCTATGGCGACAAAAATAAGAAGTATTTAAAGTGGAGAGCTTGAAAGAATTTTATTGAAGACTTATCCCCAGTTTCGATACTGGTTCAGAAAAGTTTCGAACTGAATAAACAAACAAGAAGTTGGAAACTTAAAATTTTATGAACCAGAAATTTACTTAGTTACATAATGACATTTTTTAAGAAAAACAAGGAATCACACGAATGGCGAATTACCACAAAGTTTTTAAGCAAAACATTACTTTAGAAAGAGCTTCAATACGTTTTGACAGTGTTTATACAACTGGAAAGTATGGTTTAGTTTTTTTTAGAAACCAAAATTTCTATAATTTTAGAAATAAGATTTTAATGACAATAAACTCTAATTTATTTCTAGAAGCTGAACAGAAATATAAGTCTTTGTATTGAAAACTATAAAAGGAAAACTATTTCAGCTTGGACGATTGAAATACAGCTTCCACGAAATATCGCCTTTTTGAAATTTGCTTGTTTATTGTGTACCGTACAATCCCTTCAGTCGAGATTGATTAAAGTTTCCTTGGTTTACAGAATACCAATGAACTAATCTTTTAAGACAGCGTATGTACTGTATTGAAACTAAAAAAAATATTATTGATCTGAAATAAAGAAAAACACCCTTGAGTTTTCTCCCTATATTGGAAATAATATATTAGTGAAAATTAATTTTGTGGTTTTTATTGAGAAAATATTTGGGCATTCTGATTATGTAACGTAACCCTCGTGTAAAGTATTCGATTACTTGCTTCTTAAGAGCGATGCACGGATGAAATATTATACAGCTAAATAAATTGACATTGGAATTTAATCACAAGAAATTTCCACCGTTCATGTATGTGCTTCTGTAAGCAATACTCTGTTATATTTGTTATTTATACTTGTGGAACTGTACTGTAATTAAATAGCATTTCCAATATTATCAATACTGTTGAGAATATAAAAAACAGAACTCGTAATATGATAAAATTACTTTTTTGTTTTACTTCCGTAATGCTCTATATTATTACAATACTATATTGCAAAAATATATAGATACATTTAGAATCTTTATTATAAGTAGTGATGTGAAAAACCGATTAATTTCAATAACCGAGTACTCGAGTTTCAAGCGATTGCAATAACCGAGTGATCGCTGGAGTGAAATATCACTCGTATTTAAAAATACGGTTTTTCACCCGTCGCTTGTTGTAAGTACTCGTTAACGCCAAGCACCAAGTGGTACGAAAATTGTTTTTTATGACCATGAGCAAACGAGTAAACTTTCTTGTGCGCAGGAATAAACTCCCGTTTAAACAGCGTAATAACTGGGCCGGTCACAAGGCCGGTCAGGCGCTGTGCACAATTTTAGAGGCACATATGGCCTCTAAATGGGCGTGCTTGTGCGCAAACTAGTAACGTAACTAGTGCGCGACTCCAAAAATTGGAACCACGAGAAACAATGCTTTTGACGATAAGTTTATAATCTGTATAATCTGTGAATTAATATAATAGATTTTACTACAGGCACTTTCCAGAAAAATGTTGTTCGGCAAAAAAATTGTGTGTACTACAAAATTTAGTTAGTAGGCCTGGTACGACTTAAAAAACGTTGTAAATGTATATTCTTTTACTCAGTAGTTTTATACAGGTACGGACAAAACGTTATTACCCTTTAAACCAGTTAAAAAACATGTAGGTGCCGCCCTCTACAAGTAGGAGTCATATTGACATCAAAATTAAATTCAAAAAATTCCCAGACATTTTCCATTTTCATCCAAATATTGACGTTACTTCGAAAAAATCGAAATAAAAATGAAACTTCTACACCCTGTATCTCCAAAACTAAGCATTTTAGGACATACATTTATACGAACTTTTTTGGTTATTTTAATGTGCAGAATATGCTGCCGAAGTTTCCGGAATACAATTCGGACCACCCTGTATACATCTTTTGAAAAATATTACGTGTACTTAAATGTTCTATATAATATATCATATGTAAGTGCTATGTAGTTAATGTCATTAAATGGATGTTTCTATATACGCGGTGTGTTCAAGAAAAACTAACCTCCGCGTAAAATGAGCGATTCCAGTTCAAAGTTTTAGTACAATGTACATGTATTTTCTAAAAGTTAATCACCTCACACCTCTATAAGGTAAGGTAGAGGTACAGATTTGGTACTTTAGTTATATGACATAAATGAGGATTGAAAGAGTCTTTTTACAAACTTTTTATTTTTAAATGGTATCGTCGGTATTTTTTTACTTTATTTGATATAAAATAACATTCTGAAAAGAATAACATATTATAAATATGTCAAGTTTTGATATTTTCCCTTAGAAAAAAATAGTAATTTAAATTTCAATCTAGAGTGCCATGGCCATAAATGTTACAACAATTTGACTCGAAATACCAAGTATGTCGTGATACCAAATTATTCTTAAAAAATGCATTTTTCAAATATGCTGATTCGATTTGATACAATTGAGTTAGGATTCAAAATACGAGTTGGGCATCTTTTAGCCGGCTAGGAATAGACACGAAAAACATTAGACTATCAGATATATTTTTCCAAAGCTCCTTGATTAAAAATTAATGGTTTTAATACAGCCATTTGCCAATTTTTAATTTTTAAAATGTCAAAAGTTGACATATCAAAAGTCGTTGTAATAAGAATGTGATTTTCTATTATACAGGTTGTCTTAAAAAGTGCAATTATTTTCAGGGCTGGTAGATCTCGATAAAAGAAACATATTTTCTCTTTACCGTTTTTTCAAATAAGTCCAAAGTAACCGAGTTATTTTACTTTGAAAATATACAAAAAAAATATTTTTTGCTTAAATTGAGAACCGCTGGATCTTTTCTGGGTTTTCTTTCTAGTAAATTTAATCTACTATCTATGTTGCCATATTATCAAGAAATTACGGTTTTTAACTGAAAACTAAAAAAAATACAAAAATTTATTCAAAAAATTCCAAAATTTCCAAAAAAAATGTTCGCGAAAAAAAACGTCCTGTTTCTGAAGTCGAAATATACTATTTTTTTGAAAAAATATTTGGATTTATTTCAGACTCACCCTGTATAAAGTAAAAAAATACTGTGGGTAGCATTTAAAAATCGATAGTTGTAGTCATTTCCGGTAAAACAGGAAGTAACAGAAAGTAATTGAATGCGCCCAATCAATCCCTATTTTTGTGATATACTAACATACCGAATTTCCTTATATAAAAGCAAAGAACAAAAGTTATGGGGAAAAGATACTTTTGAAACACGCCCGGTATACAGGTGAAGCTAATAAAAACATGTTGAAAGATCAGTTATTTTGATCGTTAAATATATATTTTAGTGGCGATATACCCAGAAGAATAAACTAAAACTTGCTTGTTGAGACCCGTTCTGACCTTTGGCAACTTTTTGTTAGTTAAGTTTACAAGACTGCGGGAATAGTTTCTTTTGGAAGTTGCGTCAGTGAAAAGTTGGCTTAGTAAAAATGCAAACAAATTAAGCCGTCGATAGCTATAAGCTTATTGGTGGATAGTTAACATTCTACAGCAATCGCATTAAAATAAAAGGGTGAGAAAAGCCGGTGACGCAGGCGCTTTGGAGCGACTGCGCTTTGTCGGGAAATTTTCATCCACCATAGCGGTCCGTCTCTTCTCACATAGTCGCTTGTATTCCGCATCTGTCGGCATATGCGCCCGTTTTCCGTCTGAATCCCGCAAGATTTTCGCGCGCTTAGGTCATGTGACTTGTTTCGAACATTCAAATCTTTCAGTGACAGTAGCCGTACGTGAACCATTTCCATTTGGATAAATCTGATTCGGTCGCAGGTAGATAGGACATTGTTCCTAGCGATTATTTAACACCAAAACACGGTTTAAAAGTTTTCAGAGGGAATTTATAATGAATTAGAACACTTTGTTGTGGTAGGCAAACATGTGAATATTTATGATTTGTTTTGGGTTCGGTCAAAAAATATTTGCTTTATGTCAACATATCGAATGCCATGCTGTCTAAACTTAATTCATTATTTCATTTTTATTTTTTTTTAGATAGTTCTTTTAAAACTTTTTTATTTGGCGTTTGAATATTATAAAAGAGGAAAAAAGTTGTTATTTTGCTACAAAACAAAATCAAGAGTCGATTTGACGGAGTCTTTTATTTCATTATCTGGAAAAAGCATAAACATCAGTTTTCCTCTCATATATTTCAATTAAAAGTATGTTTCCGCACGTTTTGTTCAGTATAACTTCAGAAACACTTTAATTAATTGATTATAACGTGTTAGTATCTTTTATACGCATTGATTTTGTTTTTAATAACTAGTAAAAAGATTTCTTCTGACCATAAGGTTATTGTCATATTAGTTACAATTTCTGGTAGAAAAGCAAAACAAATTTTTAGATCTTTTATTACAAATAATTTTAAATTATTACAAGCACGTTAAAATAAATACTTTTTATTCTATTTACTCTCCATTTCGAGACCAATCATCAATGATCATATCAAGATGACCAAACTAATTGGTACAAATGGCGCATTTCAAATTATGTTTTTTATATATTATATACTTGATTGGAAATAATATTTTTCTGTGTGATAATTAATGCAATTTAATTTTCTATAAATATTCATCTAAATTAGTATTGATATTTTTATTGCAAATATTATCACAAGGTTTTGTTTTTATGAAATTGCATATTTTTATCTTCACGAAGGATAACATTTTAAACATTAGTTAACATTCTTACTAAATAGATATTTATATATATATCAACTTTTAGAATTCTGTTAGTGTTCCCCTTAATTGCATTTAAAAATGGCTGCCCCTATATAGAATATTATTGCTATTTTTGTTCTATAAGTAATCATAAACCTGTTTTTGAAACTTAAAATGTTAACTGGCGACGTTACTTTGAATAATTCATCTGAATTAGTGCTTAATATGAATATATATCTAGAAAGTTTTCTTTGTTTTAAAGATATTTCCATACTTTTCTAAGTTGGCAATATTTCCAAAGTTTTTGCTAACAATAGACGTTAGTTTTGTATTGTTTAATTTCAAGATACGTCTCTAAAAGTTCATACAGTTTGTTACAGTTCTTAAATTACTTAAAACAATAGCCTCTCTTATATAGGTATTTTAATTATTACTGCATTTTCTAAAATCAGAAAATAAATTAAATGGGTATTATATTTTAATAGCAATATTTAGTCTGTAAACTTTCTTGGTTGGAGCTTAAATTAGTTGGAGCAAGATTGAATAAGTTTAGAAATTAAGTTTTAATTATTATATGTTTTTTCAAAAAAGTTTCGTACTGATTTACAGTGTCTTTTTCTTAAAAATCAAAATAATATTTCTCAATATTAAAATATTGGGTTTCTTTGTGTTATTAAGTGTCTCTGAAGTTATTCTTATTATAAATCATTTTTGGACTTTATTTTCGCTATAGGGGTGATATTACTAGGCTACGTAGAGAAGACCTTCGCATAGTTTTAGCGATTTTTATTTTACTGTTCTTCTCTATTTGCAGAAAAAGCTCGTGGTATTACAAGGATAATATAGTAAATGCCCTTGGTACCCAAGCAATTTCTGAGCTAAATTCTTATAATATGAAAGACATATACTGGCAAGACGGTGTAATTTACTCTGTGCGTGATTATTGAGTGAAGTGCAGTGTTATCTCGTTGAAACAATATTAAGGATTGAAAAATGACCAAAGCGAATGGCAAGATGTCGTCAGGGTTTTTCCTCTTCTCGCCGTGGATGTTGCTACTTCTAGAACTAAGCACAGGTACATCTTTCTAATCTTATTATTTATAGCTAACGCGCTAAACTCGCAGCGATTATTCAGGATTTCGGATTTTACGACAAAAGCTAAATATGCATAAAATTGTCATGTTTATTCTGAGTTATATCGTTAAAACGAAGAGTGCTTAGCTACCGTAAATACGAAGGGAAGTAAACAAGAGCGTACACGTACAGTATGGTTATTTGATAATCTTTTAATCTTCAATCGTCTTTATCGCGCAAAACTTTCCTTAAATTTATCAAAACTTTGTAAATAATTATGTATTTAATAATGTAGGTAAATTGTCGTATCCTTATAAATTTTTTTATTGTATTCTAGAAGTTGAAAAATTAACTAGATCTATGAAGAGTTCTTGTTCTAGTGAGCTTTATTACCAGCCTTCATTCTAAGCTCCTAATAAAGACAATTACAGGAATTACTACTTTTAGTAGATTTTTCTTGTAACTTTTTAGGTCTTCTTCTTAAGATGCCGACTTCTTACGAAGGTTGGCGACCATCATGACTAATTTTATTTTGTTGACTGCTGCCCTGAACAGGTCGTTTGATGTACAGTTGAACCATTCTCTGAGATTTCGAAGCCACGACATCCATCTTCTTCCTATGCTTCTCTTCCCTATTATTTTACCCTGGATAATTAGTTGTAGAAGCTTGTATCTTGTACCTCTCATTACGTGGCCCATATATTGGAGTTTTCTGATTTTCACCTCTTGGGACAATTCTAGATCTTTTGAGACTCTTCGTAAGACTTCTTCATTGGTAATTCTGTCAACGTATGATATCCGGAGTACCCTTCTGTAAAGCCACATCTCGAAGGCATCTATCTTTTTAAGCATTTGTTTTGTTAAGAGTGGCAGCTTCTATACCATAGAGCATTGTTGTAAATATGTAGCATCTTAGCATTCGTATTTTAAGGTGGTTACTTAAAGTTTTGCAACAAAAGAATTGCTTCATTTTAATAAAGGTGTTACGTGCTATTTCAATTCTCGTTTTTAATTCTGATGAGTAATCATTGTTGTCGTTGATCAGGGTTCCTAGATATTTATATTTATAGACTCGCTCTATTATCTGATGGTTTACGATCAGTTGAGTATTTTGATTTGGTGTTTTTGTAAATATCATGAATTTTGTTTTATTAAGGTTCATATTCAAGCCATAATGGATACTTGTTTCATACACTTTTTGGACCATTCGTTGCAGATCCTGTATACTTTCTGCTAGCAGTACGGTATCATCTGCGTATCGTATATTGTTTATAGGAACTCCGTTTACTACTACTCCAGCTGCTTTATTGTGTAATGCCTCCCTCATGATGACTTCCGAGTACATATTAAATATATAGCGGGGAAAAACTTTTTAGGTACTGATTACATAAAAATATGTATTTGAGCTGGTATATTCGCACCAACATACAAGGAAGACCTCAAGACCTAAAGCTAGCGATTAGAATGTCTTTTTTAGCTTATTCAACCAGCTCCAATAATGATGTAGCCTCCCCCAAATGTTTAGATAATTTCTTTGTAATTGCGCAAGATATCTCTGATAAAATTGATAATTTTCTATCATCAGGTTTAGTCTTCTCTAGGTCTCTTAATTGTTCGTAGGTATCGTGCTGTAATTTTTGTGGTCCATCTGATGTTCGTTCTTCTTGCTCGTTGTCCTGCCCTTTGCTAGTTGAGGGATTTAATTCTGTAGATGACATTTATTTCCTGGGTCTTTGGTTATATATAATCTATTTTTTGTGGTGTCTTGGTTATTCCCAGCATATTTCTTTTCATCGAGCGTTGTGCGAACTGCAGATTCCTGATAATGTCTGTGTTAAATGTGAAGGTTTTGCATGCATAGGTCATGACTGGTAGTACACATTGGTCGAATATTTGGGCATTCTAAATTTGAATATGATTGAATTTCTATCATATGTACTCCTTGCTAACTTAATTCTTCTGTTTATTTCGGTTAGTAGAAATCCTGGGCTATGTTATTAGTTGTCCTAAATATAATATATATTCTTCTACTATTTACAGTGTTATTTATTAGAAATTAGAATGTCTTTTTTATCTTCCAGTTTATTTACATTACTTTAGTCTTTGCTAAATTTATTTTGAGATCTACTTTGTAACTTAAATATCAGAAAATTAATAAAATTAATTCAAACATTCGATAAAATATCGAATGTTTAAATTAATTTTCTGATAATATAAATCGAAAATATTTCTATAACCAGATTTATTTCTGAAAAATGTATTCTTCAATGACACAGGTATTCTTAATATTACAATGACTAATATCTGTCAAAAATTATTGAGGTAAAATTAATTGTTAATCTATTTATGTCGTCAAAACTGAATTTAAATGTCGTGAATTGCAATCGTATATTATTCCAATATCTTTATTATATAAAGGTGTAATTATTATACAGAAAATCGTTAGCAAACCACTGGTATCGCTTCAGATATCAGATGAAATTTGTATTGACAATGGAGAAATAAATTCGGAGATATTCGCCAGCAGAAATTAGCACCGAGGAATCTAGCATGAAAATCAATCACTTCCAATATGCCAAGACCTGAAGTTAAGCGTAAAGGATCGGGCAAGCAGTTTGGGACCATTTTTGCATTAAATTCTCATTTCTTTTTTACTCTGACGTCCCATTTTGGTCAGTGATCTAATACTGCCATTAAGTTCTGAATAATATTGGTATTTGATCCGGATTTTACTTTACTCTAAGCCCGCAACAGCGATTTTTCAAAATTAATTGCACGATTTCGAGAAAAGATAGAAACCAATTCTTTTAAAACGAAAATGCTGAGTCTGTAGATTTCAGAAAATTAATGTAAGTTACGGGTATGTTATTATCCTCTGATTAACAATTTATTTTTATTATTCCTACTTCTAATTCTCTTAATATATTATTGATTTGGATAGATTTTAAAAAAAAATTATAATTTTTACTTCCAACTACTATAAATGAACCATTGAAATGAAATATTGCATAAACCGAAGACCTAAATATACTTCTTCGTTGCATTATGTCACAAGTCCGCTTCTAATGGACTAGAACAACAGATTTTAATCTATTGTAGCTTAAAGTCTATTATAGAGAGTTTCATTATGTACTATCGAGGATTTTACACGTATCTTAGCCTAGGATTTAGATATCGATTTACTTTACTCAAGACTCTGTTATATGTGAGCTTACTGGTTCAGATTACGGTGCATTGCACTCTAGTTAATATAAAAATGTCCGAAAAATAATAGTTAATCCTCTATTAAAGTTTTTTTTTAATTCGAGCTAGTTAAATCTTAGGGTTATTTTCTTTCTATTAAAGCGAAAACACTATAAAAAGAAAAATACAATTTATTTAATGTCTTTATCGTACGAAGGCCGGCATTCCCAATTCCTAATACAAATTAAAACGTTTAAATCCAACAAACAAATTAATTAGTAACCAAAAAAGAATACCGAATATCGAAGAAAATCCGAGTCACTGGAATAAAATCTGTTAAGCAAAACCGATCAATCAACTGTTGTGATTATTCGGTTCAGCCTAGTTCTGGAATTAATCAGAAAGTTAAATAGAAATACACAGAAAGGTGAAGATGGAAAAAAAATCAAAAAAAATCAAGTATGAAAATACTTTTCGGGAGGAATGTTTTTGACGAAAGGCAGTATCTGAGATGGTTTTACCGAGATTAGTTCTCCATCACTGATATCAGTCGTACCAAAATTTATGGTACAAATGGTTGTCGTCTCGGCGCACTCAGCAGTGGCGGATACAGAGGGGGGGCCTATGGGGCCCGGGCTATATAAAATTTCTAGCTATATCGTTTGCTTTTTCATTACCTTCTATCCCTTTGTGGGCTGGTACCCAGAGTGGGATAATTTTATTTTCTTTGTCTAATATAAATAGAAAGGCACATTAATTTTAGGGCCAAGAAGCCACTTCTTAAGTTACAGATTGTCTAACTTCCACAACAACACAGCAATATAAAACATTTTGTTCCTCCCCAATCTTCATCCTCGTATTTATTCACTGACGAAAAATATTATTAATGAATGAAATGAAAACTTTTCTACGGATCGACGAAACTATTCCAAAGCTAATAACTAATTTAAAATTATGAGGTTTACAAACTTTTGATAAAAACGAATATTCGATATTTTTAACTGACAAGTTCGAATAACTTTCTGGATTAGGATATCGATAACGTTGTTGAGCTCAAGCCAAATATAAAATTCCAACTTATCGGAACTTCTATTATTCAGATATATACCGTGAAAGAAGAAACTCTCCAAATAAAATTTTTCTAGTTCTGTTATTTACTTTAAATGTCATTTTAAAATTTACATTATTTTTTATATACTGCCTGATTAATTCAATTAAAATATTGTCATCGTACTCAAGAATAATAATATCCTAGCAGCTGTTAATATGCATATTCCGGAAATAGATTTAGAAGATTCTTATGGCTTTATTGAAAATTAATATTCCCAAATATAGACGTATTAAACGTGTCCTTTGCGAGCCTAAACTGGACCCTAAATTCGTATCCAATTTGCTTTCGAATCGCAGTGCTCGCCAGTCCAATTTTCTACAAATGACCAAGGTTTAGTTCTTAATCTCATATGGCGATAACTGTCTAATCAGAATGATTGCATTCAATATCGTTTTGTATATCTTGTACAGAGGGATTGCCTATATTTTCTGAATTAAAATGATTTTACAGTAAGCGTAAAAGTAACATTTCAGTTTGAGCTTCACCATGTTGCTAAAATTGTTATAATATAATTTCTAAAATATTTGTTAATTTTACGCTATCAAAACTTGTATTCTTTTTTAAATCTTTAAAACTTAAAGAATCATAATATAATCATACAATAATACTGTCATAGTCAAGAACTTCAGTCTCCTACTATGACGTTGTTTTATTTCCATTACATGTATATTTTTTAAACAACGTATAGTTTTTAAACGATGATTTAT